AGAAAGTAGAAGGTTGCATTTAACTCAAAAACTAAAGAAAACTTACTGGTATGTTCTCTCCCTCTCTTGCCCCCTCTCCCCCACTCTCTCTGCCTCTCTCTGCTTGCTGTATTCCCTCTCCTGCTCTCTCTCTCTTTCTGCCTCTCTATCTCCCCCTCTTTCTTTCTTTCTTTCTTTCTTTCTTTCTCTCTCCGCTTGCCTCTCTCTCTCAAATATTTTGTAAAAAGTCATTGTCCTATAGATCAGATCTGTAAATCATCATTCTCATACCAGTTCTCCATGCCAGTCCTCAGTTAGGCCTGTAGATTGTCACAATCACCACGCGCCCTTAACGCTGTACACTCAGCTATACACACGTAATCCATGTCTGTGAGCTCAGCCAATCAGTGCCCTTTTTTGAGACCAGTAGTATTCGTGCACAGTTGTAGCTCCTTCACATGCAGCTCGTAACCTGGATGAGGTGTAAATTGTTCATCACATTGTATAGACACGCCAGGAGCCACACATACATGTACTATACATGTTTACCCACTCTACATGTGTGTTTGAACACACCCCACAGAGCCCAGCCAATCAGAGCTGGAGGTTGTGTCTGTGTTGCAGACGTAAGCCTGGTGTGGCTGCTATTGATTTTGAAAACACATTCCTGTCCACTGAAACACTCTGTGTGCTGGAGTGAAAAATTAGCTTCACTGCTGGTCAGTAAAACTCTCTACCTGCCACTGCCACACTTCTGAAACCCACACAGAAACTATTCAAATTAATAAAAAAAAACCCACACAGACATTATTAAAATTATTAAATTAAACACAGACTTTTATCCCATCATGTAACAAATGTGTGAAGTGATTAATTAGATGCAACTGTATTGTTTGCATCCACATACGATGTGGCTAGTGCATTGGTGTAGAAGTTGATTTTGACTGATGATATTTGGCAGGATATATATATATATATATATATAATGAAAAAAGTGGCCCAAGGATAGAGCCCTGTGGTACACCACACCAAACGTCATGCCTCCCAGACACAAATTCCCCAACGATAAAGGTAGATTTATATGGGTCTAGCGAGGCTTTGGGCTGTGGGTGTTACAAGGGCATTAATTGTGAAATCCAATTGAATTTTAGTCTTGTTAAGTCAATATTTATGTAATTAACGCTTTAATTGTTTTTTTTGGGGAGGAATATTCACAAAGTGAATGTAATATTCGTCATTAAGCTAGCATTTTCCAAAACATTGACAAAGTTAAACATGGACAGATAGGGAACATAGATTGTTGATTATCACTCACAGTCAACATCAGTTATTTCAGTGTATTAACATCTAACTGATTATCTTTCCAGTCAGATTTTGAATTTTCGGAGTAAAGCAGTTGTGGTTACACGTGAGCTTTTTCTTCCATGTCTTGCAGGAACATTTGAAAACTGCATGCACAAGTCATGCAAACACAACCTGCCTTTGCTGGATTCATTTGCATAAAATTCAGCTCTGCTTAACTTTTCCATGAACCACATTTCCCAAACACATCAGACTCCTCATGTACCGCACAGCAGCTTCTCATGCAATCAACGCTTCCCTTTGAAAATGAATGGGATCCATTGCGGTGTGTTGCCTCACCGGGCCAGTGTAACTGCAGAGTAACAAAATAGTTACCTGTTAGATACAGGTGTATGCAAACGTTTGGGTGCCCCTAGTCAAATTACTGCATCCTCTACTATGCACGATTACTGCTAATTTGATGAATTTAACATAAACAAAACATAAAATGTGGCCTATGTGGAAGGTATGGCACATTGTATGTTTTAGGTTTTCCAACTCAGTAAATAATTAGAAATTGTGCACTAAAATAGGCAGGAAATGCCATATTTGTGTTTGTTCTCTATAGAGAATGTGTTTTAGAAAATCAACGAAATGTAGTTTGACTGTTTTTTTTTCCAGAAAGTTCAATCAAGTTTTCAGTAAGCCATGAATTCGCACAATGTTCATTAATGGCCATTCAGTTACATTCACTGTTAGCAACATTTCTGAGTGAACCACTCCTTTAATTTTCGGTGCTATGGGCCCTCTACGCTGCTTCTGCTGGCCGGGGAGTGACCCTCTGCTCCTGCTTCAGTGTAGGGCTTGTTGTCAACACGACTAGGAATTGCATCATGTGCTTCTCCCTCCACGAGCAGTTTTGCGCAATGTTTGCTTCTGTTTTCAGACTGGGGCCTGCAGGCCAGAATACTCAGATAGAGGGAGAGAGAGAGAGAGACAGAGAGAGAGGGAGGGAGATATATAGAGAGAGAGAGAGTCACAAGATGTTCCTCTTTATTAAGTGGCCTTACACGGTAAGGGAGGGATAAAGTAGGATTTGCTGGATGGGTTGAAGGAAAAAAACTTAAGCGGCCTGTAAGCAGAGAGGATATTCACTCATATTTCATGCTGTCTGGCATGTGTGCTATGGGTACTTTCCACATTCTCTGAGTGAATTTCGTGACTTACAGTAACACACACAGTGCACAATCAGAAAAGAATAATAAATGACATACAGACAAAGTTACAAGAAGTTTAGAGAGTACAAAACGTTCGGGCCCAGGATTTGTGTTTATTCAAAGAAAAGTCACACGTCCTTTCTGCTTTTTTGAAAGGAGCAAATAGATAGAGAGGTATTTCATTAACACTATCATGAGAGGCTTCAGCGCAGCTCGATTTGACTCAGCAGTCTGTAAAACGTGTCAGCTTCACGAGAGAGAGTGCAAACTCCTAGAATTCCTGGCTTCGCCTCCTAGAAATACCAGCCCTATGTTCATCTGTACAGCTGTTTGAACACGAGGGAGTTTCACTGTACAGCACTGTGAAGGTGTTTTCCTTTCAGTGGGTCATGTGACACGGTGAAGACATTGTTCGTCTTTGGGCTGTGCTGAAAACTCACGTTTTCTGTGACACCTGTGATTTATGACACACATTCGTGCTAAGCGCTAAAATGTTGTAGTGGCTCGTTCTTCTTCTTTGTCTCATTTGTACTTTTTCACCTTTATCTCGTTTGAACGCAGGTCTGAAATGTGAAATGTTCGTTTGGTCCGTGTGTTCTCTGAGCACTGAGCACAAATCTGTGTTTTTTTTTAGAATTAATCACACCATATGTCTAAAATGTTTATCATGTTAATTTTATTCTTTTGATTATATGGGACTAGTGGTTTTTAATTTGATTGTGACTAAAACATTAAAAAATGACACTCAAAAATTTTAAAAAGTGATAGAAAAAAAAATCAAATACTGTTAGTTCAACTAATAGTGCTTTTGGAACAAAACATTGTATCCCCAATTTTTTTTGTTTACACTGTGTTAAAATATCCTGACAAATGAAAAATCATGTTACATTATCATGTTACATTAACTTACACTGAAAGCTAAGATTTTTTCCTTATCCTATAAAGCTGCTTTTATTCTGACATTCCATATTTGACGATACACAAAGTGACTGTATTTTAAAACTGTATTTTTTGACATTATACTACATTTTGTTACTAAAATGTAGTGTAATGTACATTCCTTTTAAAAACTAGAATTAAGCAAGTTATTTATAGAATAAAAAAATGTTTGTTTTGCCCCTGGGTGAGTGAGTGGGTAACTGTCCGGCGGGCCAAATCAAACATCCTGATGGGCAAACTTTGGCCAACGGTAGCTGTGATCTAAGGTACACAACACATGACCACTATAAACCAATTAGAACAAACTCTATGACACTTCTTTTCAGACATGAATGAGTCAATAGAGGAAAGTAAATACTGTTTAGTATGTGAACTACCTATAAAATGTCTGCATAATTGAATGGTTGAGATGTAAACAAAGTCATTCAGATTGTTTTGATGTGAAATGGTTCATTGTAGAGAAACTTACTAACTTGGATTTCTTTACAGCAGTGGTGATAGGAACCAGGGGTCACTTATGTCTATAACATAAATATAACCATTTTATTTATTGTCCAAAACCACCAGTGAACTTACTCTAGCTGTTGTATATCATGATGATATGATAAAATAGTAGTAACACTGAAAAAATAGGATTTATTTGGGTTCTAGTTTGCTTTACAACACGTTCCTTGTACTTCTATGCTATGAGTGGATTAAAAATATATACATTTTAGCCCCAAAGCTAATGTCCAAACTATCATAAATAATTCCTCTGGCATCCAGCAATGTATTCATAACCAATTTGTATAATAACTTTGTTGAGGAACCTTTTCCAGGCATTAAACACTTTGGACGTCTGGTTCCTATCACCACCACTGTGAAAAATTCGGACTTGGTCAGTTTTTCCAGAGCGGAGCATTTCACACCAAACCACTCTGAAATCCTGTTTTCACATCTTAACCATTTAATTAGGCAGACATTTTGAGAAAGTGGTGGAATTGCCCTTTAAGAATGCACACTGACCATATTAACTATACAGAAGATGCTTTATGAAGTGATGTTCTTTATTTGTGATGGTATGTTTGCAGCTTAAAGCGCCGCTGAGTCATTTTTAACATGCTGATGTAGCTCTAACTACCAAGCCCTTGTCTCTGTATGCTGAAATCGTGTGTAAGATATGTGGGTGCCGTTTGAATGACCAGGCCACATAGTTTCTCTCTGCTTAGTCATTAGGCTTTCTGGTGGCGGTGGTTGGGATATTACAGCGCCTTGCATCATGCAGGATGTAGCCATATGCAGCCTGTAATAAAAGGCAGCTGCTACAGTTTCAGCGAGTTTAAACGGTTCGGATTGAGGTGGTTTTGAAATACTTTCGGTCGTTCATCATTTTAGAAGTCGTGGTATCCACCACTGTTTTCTTTCTGATCTTCTAGAAAAGACACAAAGCATATCAAATCCGCCCTGCACGGGATACGTCAGACCACCACGTGACACTCTCTCTCTCTCTCTCTCTCTCTCTCTCTCTCTGTTTACAGTGATAGGGGGCGGGGCTAACCGAAAAGGGGCCGGTGAGCTTATAAAAGGCTGAGGGTCTATGTGAGTTCCCTACCTTCCACCACATCAGCCCCAACAGCCCACGACCAACATCTGCTGCTTTCCGAAGCAGAGAGGGGTCAAACAACGGCGTCCAGACTGGAGCTTTAAAACGAAAAACACCGCCAACGACGGGGTGAGTCGAGCTTGTGGTGCTTACATTGCTTTACAGTCAAGATATGGGCTTTTTAGCATGTTAGCAAGCTTAGCTGTTTTGCTGCGAATGAGATTCAGAAACGAATGGTTAGCTGCTTATTCGAATTTTCCAGTCCACCTTAAATGGTGCAGCAGTTCCATTCTGGCGCCTGAGGCGCCAGAATGGAACTGCTGCACCATTTAAGGTGGACTGGGAAATTCAAATAGGATGGAATGGGAAATAAGCAAAAAAACGACTCAGGACTCATGTAAACAGTCTGTTTTGTGTTTGTGCTTGTCTGCTTAGCTGTCTAATTCGTATAGCTAACGGTAGTTCGCATTGAAGCACAGTGGCTAACGTGAACACGTTGTTGTTGGTTGTCTGGCTCTTGGTGCAGCCATCTGGCGACCTGTCTAAAATCAGTGTCTTTCATTCCTTCTCCACATTTCAGTCTCTTTCCTGCTCGAACACACCCAGTATAACCTCAGAGATGGTTTGGGAATGAGCTGATGAGTTCAATCAAATAGAGAATCACTGCTGTAGATGGTTTGCTGCTGCTGCTGTTTGTCATTGTTCTCCTACATCAGTAAACTCTATAGTCATCTGCCATATTAGTGCCTGTACGTTGGATGAAAATGAGTAATAATGTTATTTCATGGTCAAAGCTAATATGATGTGCTGTAGAGACTAAGTTAGCTCGGCCAAACGGGGTACATGCTGGGTTATTCTTGGCCGCAGTTTAACTTGGCTGGCATGTTGGGGCAGAGCCAGAAGCCTACTGCTTGTACGTGCTTTTATTCATGGCTCTGACTGCTCAGTTCTCAGTTGTTGTGGTGTAGCTATAAACCCCCTGCTGACGTAGAAGTGTTATGCACATGTGCCTAGTTGCAGGTTAGTCATTAGTGTATGTATATATGTGAGTATACATACGTACAAGGCAGTTATGTATGTATAAATGTATTATGTATGTTTGTATGTGCTGTGCAAACCTCTTAGGCACCTAAGCACATTATTTAAAACCATTTATCTCAGCTATAAGAAGGATGTTGCATGTAAAATCACTATGTTATTAGAATCAGGGCAAATAAACATAAATACAGTACAAAATAAGGATTTTCAAAAAGATTTAGTTGATATCTTGAGCTGGATTATGTGTATTAGACTTCTAGGGTAATAAGTAAGCATATAATAATTGTAAGAAGTATATAAATACAAATACTTACAGCCCTTTATTTGTTGTTTCTTTTCAATACCTAGCTTGACTAACCACTCCTTCATTAAATTTAATTAGGTGTGAAATTAATTGCTGGTGACTTCTGTTCTTCTAACTGTATTTTCTTCTTTACAGGTTTCCCGTTCGAAGCACACAGTCACCAGACGTCAATTAGCTAAGTGAAGTTAATCACTGAAGCTAAAAGACCACCGTTGTTGCCACCAGCCACCAATCCAAAAAAGGTCACTGATTCAGGAAAAGAAAAATGGTGCAAAACAAGATTGCCGCTGTAACCGGATTTCACCGCTCTTTCAAGGTGTGTTGTCACACACTTCCTCTGAAGTTGGTGATGCTGCAGGCTGTCATAGACTTGTTGCCCTGACAGACGTGCCACAATACATGCTGACTACAAGTGGAGTCACAGGGCATTTATACATCAGTCATTATTGACTACTGAGCGGATAGTAACCAACATAAACAATGGATAAACGTGTACACAAGTTGCAGATTCACCTGGGACCTCTGAGATGATTACTAAACATACAGTGACCTTGTGCACTGCTTTTGGCTTGGAGTTTGCCTAAAATGTTTACATTTCTTTTTTATGTAGGGCCAGAATCCTTTTGAATCAGAAGAATTCAGCAAAACTGGATCCCACCTTCTTGACCCTGCCTTCAATTTTGATTGTTCTAACCGCCCCGGTGAGTATTAGGTTTCATGGACGTCATGTATCTTAATTTTTGTCTTCAAGCTGGAGCCCTATTTTCATGACATTGTAAACCCATGTTTACGTAGTGCTCTGGCTCTTGTTGAGGTTGTTTTGCTTGAGGCTGATGAGCCGCTTCTAAAACCACCTACACGCAGTAACTATCATTTTGGGAAGGCTGTGGAGTTACAGCTGTGATGTGGGATAAACCCACACCGCTGCTGTTTACAGTAAAGCGTCAGAACCTCTTGACCTGCTTTTGGTCCACTTGCCTCATTGCCCGTGCTTTTTATAGTTAAGCCTGTGTCTTCCATCTGCCTGTGTTTATAGCTTGTCCCAAAGGATCAGCATCTTAATGTCTTTTTTTTCGTACTGTCTTTCTGTTCTAATTTGTAGACATGCCATCCAGCCAGCCAATCGACATACCCGACGCCAAGAAAAGAAATAAGAAGAAAAAGAGGTGCCGGGCAACAGACAGCTTCTCAGGGCGGTTTGAGGGTGAGTAATATGTGAAGGCCTGTATGTGCATCTCCACGGCAGTCATGGCAATATATCATCAGTACTGGTATACTGGGATATTGGTTTTGTTCAGAATTCCTAAAAATAAAATAAATAGTCTAAAAATGTGCTGTGCGTCAGGTTAATGTGTACAATTAGAAACTTTATTAATGTTAACTTATTATGGAAAATCAAATTGCCCTTGCTTTTTAGAAATGTGTTTAATGCATAATGTAAAACAACCTTTTAGAATTTGTTGTTTTTGTGATGTCATGAAAAGCTCATTTACATATATTCGCATATTCTGCCTACAGTGGTGTATCCGTTCTGCCACGCCCATTGACACTGATGTTATAAGGGGTGCTTCACCCTGGATTGCTTTTTGAATGGGGCTCAGTAACAAACATGGGCTCTTATAATTCTAAGCAATAAAGAGAGATAATGTAAAAATAAAAAATATGTCTAATTTTGGTACCTAAAACTGTGAAAATGTGATAAGTGGACCTCAGGTGAAAATGGGCCCAGTGATATTGAATTTTATTAATATTCTCTAGCACTACAATCTATAGCTGTGTTAAGGTAATAGATGGCAATATCAGCCGAGTTGTCTCATTATTCACAATCATAGTCATGCAGCACAGCTTTAGAGGTCTATAGTAATGTCACATTTGTTTTTCCTTCTTTTCAGATGTATATAAGCTGCAGGATGAGGTGCTGGGGGAGGGAGCCTATGCAAAAGTCCAAACTTGCATCAGCCAGATCACCCATAAAGAATATGCTGTAAAGGTAAGACTCACTTCCTCCCTTCTAAGTTGGGTTGTAAATCAGATTCTAATATCTTGATGAGATTATTGCTTAGAAGTACATTATTTGTAGTATCTTTCAACACAACAGCTCCCTGAACAATTAAAAGTGAGGTTCCAGTGTTTGTGCTGAATGAGACAAGCCTGTTTGCACACGTGCTGTTTCTTGGAACAGGTATTGAGAGCAAGAGTCAAAGACTTGTGACTGCACTTGTTTTGCGCCAGTGGCATGTGCATGGCTGTTATGATTGGTATGGATTGATGTTATGATGTTACATTTCAGAAGGATGTGGGTGGTGAGCTCAGTGTTTTGAGTTTGCGTGTGACCGAGTCAAAGTTGCATACAGTTGGGCATGTTTCAGATTTTTTTTACTTGTTTATTTGAGCCGGCATACCACATAACTAGATTTGATAAGTTAGCTATTGACTTTTTTAATACAGCAGTGTTTAAAGACGACAAATGGAACAGCATGTTTTTGTGATGTCATAACCGACTCATTTGCATATATACCTATTCAACCTACAGCAGTTTAGCTTAGTTCATTCGAGCTGAAATTGCAAGGAATGTTCCAGATCCAGTGCTTTTTGAATTGATGCAAAATATAGGGCAGCCAATCAGAGCAGAGCTTATTTACATATATCAGTCTTATAGGCACTGTAACGAAAACAGCCTGTTTAATTTTTAGGGATATAGAAATGTTGGAAAATGCATATTGGTGCATAAAATCACACATCATAAATGGACCTCAAATGAAAAACTAAAATCTGAGTAAAACATGGCATAAAGGCCCTTTAAGTTCAGTTAAAGATTATCTTAGATCCCCTATCGGCGCTAAGCTATGAATTGTTGTGGTGGTGTTGTTGTACAGACGTTCAATGCTGGCTCAGCAGAGAAACTTCCCCCTGTTGTTTTTGTTGGACCATCCTTAAAGGCAGCCAATCGGAGCGCTCAACTGTTGCAGCCTCCCCTACTCTTCACTATCATTGGCCAGCAGATCGTCCGGTGGCGGGAACACGGTGTTCTGGCATGTACAGACAAGTGCAGAAAGGGGGGTTGGCCTAAGGTTGTGACCCGTAACGTTTACGCATTTTCCCCTTTTTTTCGCTTCTTGCGCAGATGTAAGGTGTGGCTTGGACAGTAAACGTTATTTGCTTGAGGCAAGTTGCCTCGTGAACATGCTTTTGAGGAAGTTGAGCGTTGTGAAATGCTGTGGGTGTTTTGATTTTAGGGGCACGTGTGCGTGGGTACGGAATGTGCTGTAGCAGCACTATTTCTTTTCTGTTCGCCTATAGAACCCAGCTGACTGAAACGCTATACAGTTATTTATCACTCGTGAAAAATGTAGTGGAAAAGACTGAAGTGGTGAAGGATTTGTACTTTACTTGAGTAGTATTGAAATTGATGACTTGTACTTTTACTTTTAGAGAAGAAATCACATTTAATGCATTTTGTGTGTGTTTATTTAGACCTTTTGAAGAACTTGTTGCAGGTCTCAAGCAGTAATACATATAATGCAGTGGTTACGACAACGTCGCAAAATGTTTGCATGGCTGTTTTGTCATGGAGTTGGTTGGATATGGTTAAGATTAGGCAGATCAGCTTTTGCATAACAATAAAGTTCCTTTTATTGTTTAAAAATAGGATGTGCTTACTTTTAGCTGGTAAAACATTTTGTTTTTACTTTATTTTCCTAGTATTATTGCACTGTTCATATTTGCACAGTCTGTTGCTGCACTATTCATATTTGCACCAACAACAATTTACATATGTTGCTCTCACAGGACACACTACCTCATTGTACGCTCTCCACTCACTCAAGTTGATACTATAGACTAAATATTTGAGACCGTACTCCTATGTTTGATTGATTGTTATGACAGCACGCACACTATGTATAGTTTCTCCGCACTTTTGGAGCTGCACACACGTTTTCGCCACCAACTTGCAACACGCGGGCTTCTGTATTGTTGTTTATCTACAGAGGGGCTTTGCTCTCCCGAGGGGTGCTGGGCCGTTATCTGCAATAGGTCGTTTTGGGTGGGAAAGGGGCACGGTAGATTGAGACCAGATGTCTTGGACACCCCTCCCCCTCGCTGAAGGGTGGTGTCGAGAGGGTCGGTGTCGGTATCCCAGGCTGAACAAAAGGGAAGGCTGAATGAAAACAACCCCGCTAGCCAGCCTGCCTTAACCCCACCCCTCCCCCGCATACGTTCAGTGATTTTGGATACGGGCGTCGTGTTTACAAGCCTGGCTTAATTTACAGACTCACTGTCTGGCTCTATAGGGCCCTCCTGTCAAAGCTACTATGAAGATTTATGATGCTATCCCTCTCAGTGGACTGTAAAATTTGAACGCCCTCCATCTCAAACTTTACAGTCATACTTTCTACATCGCCTCCCCTTTCAGAATCATCTTAATCAGTTTATTCACAATAGATATGTATTAGGATTTTCTCAGAGCGTACAGCCTAAAGTTATGCATGCATGCATACAGACGCACTTTTATTCGTTTAGTTGATGCTGTTTTCTGAACTGTCTGAAGCCAAACTAGTACTGATCTGTGACATTAAAGACAAGAGCTGTATGTTTTTCCGTTTTTCTTTAAAGTTAGATTTTTGAAGATACAAGGTGTCTACATTGTGCAAAACGTACATGACTGTCCGTATGTACGTTTTGCACAATCCTTTTTTTGCTGCTCTGTCCGTGCAGTTTTCTTGATCTTGAAGTTGATGTATGCATTTACACAGAACTTTTTTCCGACCTGTAGCCGTTTTGCTGTGCTGGTATGAGTTTTCATGGAGAAAGGTTGCTTTTGAGAGCTTGCTGACTCAGCCGTGCTGTGGTTTGTTAGGGAATGCAGCGCTAGACCAGTCACTGGGCTCTAATCCTGGACCCACATTGTGCGCTGCTCTGCCCTAAAAAGCACCTCTAATCCAGCCAGCAGGAAAAGCCGCACGTCCAGCCCACAGCACGCGGTCAGGGGGTGAGGGGGGGCCCAGGAGAGCCATGCCATTCGGTGTCAACAGTCCATTTGGCTACCCATAGAGGACGGTGCTCTTCATAAACCCCCTCCCCTAGACTAAATTTAGCTTGTGCTGTTGTTGAGATTTTATTGCCGTGGGAGGTTGACATGAATGAACCACGTGAGGACCTTGTGTTTGTGCGACGTCTTGGGGCTCTTTAGACTGGAAAATAGGTTGAAGTATATTTAGATACGCAGGGCCTGCTTTTGCTGGTCTGAGAGAAGTGGGTTAAGCTCCTCTCCACCATAGTGGTCATTTGCAGACCCTTCCAAAGTAATTAGGGGGACTAGAGACTAAAAGTGCAAAGGCAATTATGCTGAGACTATTGTTGGTGGTCTTTGATCCTAACCTAAGATCCTTCCTCTTTCTCTCTCTCTCGTCTTAGATCATCGAGAAGAGGCCAGGACACAGCCGAGGTCGCGTATTCAGGGAGGTGGAGATGTTGTATCAGTGCCAGGGCCACAGGTAATAAATTCGTCAAAGTTGTCGCCAATTAAATTAAAAATATTCAATAATATAATGGATTTAATTCAGTTAGGCTTGTAGACTTCAGTAGAAGGACTAACCACAAATTTCAAAGCACAGCATCTTTTGGAAATTCATTCAAAAAGAAAGTTATTCAAAAATTGGCTTTGGCCTGTCATGGATGTTCTCTCCAGTAAAGTATGCGAGGGGGAAAAAGCTGGGAGAAATCAATCACTTGACTATGACGCTCGCCCTGACCCAGATAGATTCTAGCCCATGAAGACAAAGTGTCTGTGTAATGGTATAGGCAGCTACCCTATGCCTCTAGAAGCCATACTCATTCAATAGGAGACATCTCTGCTGCGTCTTTGTTTTGTCTACATCTGAAATTTAACACTTGGCTTCTGAACTCTGGCTTTCTTCAGAAACATTCTGGAGCTTGTGGAGTTTTTTGAGGAGGAGGAGAAGTTTTACCTGGTGTTCGAGAAGCTGAGAGGAGGTAAGTGGATCCTTTCAGCATTCTCTGGCCCTGTATTGCATTGTAACAAACTGCGTCACACTTGTTTATATCTGTTAGACATTTTTGACCCAGATTTTTCTGGTGCGAAGGGGGGAAAAAGTAAATCTGCATAATTTGGGGTATAAATAATGATTCAGTCACAGCCTTTAAAATTATGTGTTCAAGAATTATGAAATACTTGAAAGTTGCCAATATGTAATGGTAATGCAACTAATAAAACTAGAAAACTGGTGCTGTACGTCAGTGGATAAAACTGCTGTCGTCCACTTACTTGGCAGTCAAGGGTTCAATATCTCCACCCAGGCAAGCATTAGACTACACTATTGAGGTGCTCTGGGTAAAACTCCTAACGCTAACCTCTGTAACGTGATTCAATCGAAGGTTGCTATGTATAAGTGTCTGCCATATGCATAAATGTAAATGACGCTACGTAGCCTTGTGCGGATGAGGCCGCGCAGGTGGTCAGGTATTTCTGTACAGGCCTTACAAATCTGGTTACAGTAGTCTAGCTTGGAGCTTAATATAACTGGCCTTGTAAGTGGTGCTAACGTGCTTCTAATGTGTTTTGTTTTCTGCTTTTTCTCCCCCAGGCTCCGTCTTGACCCACATTCACAAAAGGAGACACTTCAGCGAACAGGAAGCTAGCATTGTGGTGCGGGACATCGCAAGCGCTCTGGACTTTTTGCACAACAAAGGTGAGAAGGGCTTTGAGAAAAGAAGTGTAGAGTCTTTCTGCTCCTCTCATGCCAAAGCTGGCCTCCTTATTGTTTTAGGAATTCTGTATAGGGGGAGGAGAGCTTGCTGGGGGTTGGTAAAGGGATATCGAAACGCTTCTTGATATTAGTTCGGCTTCTTACTGGAAAGATGCATCTCCAGAGTTCTAGGAAGAATAGTGAGGAGGCCAAGAGTCTCATGTTTTGTCTCCTGCCAGAAGGATAGTTGGATGATGGGCCGCTTGTCTATTCATAGCCGCTCCTGGCAGCAGACTGTGTTGGAAACAAACTTCTTTGCTCCCAGTGCCCCCTACGATCCCACCCGTAATCCCTTCTCATCCTGATGACCCTGGAGAATTAATGTATGACCCTGTATATGTTTGTGTCCTGCAGGCATGGCGCACAGAGACCTCAAGCCTGAAAACATCTTATGTGAACACGAGGACAGGGTAAGTCTTTGTGTGTCTCTTGTTTTTGTTTTTTGCATTTTATCTCTTCATAGAGAAGAATTACATAAACAGAAGATCAGAGTGCACTCCAGTGCTTGACATTGAGAGTTTGATAAATCATAAGCAAAGGTTCCACTCAAGCGTGTCTTCTTAACAAGAATATCAAGTAATTTGTGCTCTTCAAAACTTTTTTCCACCTCAGATTTCGCCTGTGAAGATCTGTGACTTTGACCTGGGCAGTGGGATCAAGCTAAACAATGACAGTTCTCCTATCTCCACACCAGAGCTCCTCACACCGGTAGGTGCACACACATGTGTGTGTATGAGTGCTTGAGTGTTGTCACGTATTTAACTCATTACTTTACAACTATTCACATTCCTAAGGCCTAGAATTAAGTGACTACATGAACAACAATGCAGAATGCTAATTATGTTGTAGGAATGAGCTGTGGAAGCCTGTGAATGTTTTAAGTTTGAACCCATGAGGGTTCCAGTTATGAGTTGTCTGTTATAGGTTATACATACATAATCTAAACCGCTTATCCTTCTGGGTCGCGGTGGGGTGCTGGAGCCTATCCCAGCTGTCATTGGGCGGAAGGCAGGATACACCCTGGACAGGTCGCCAGTCAATCGCAGGGCAGACAGACATACACAGTCACACACTCACTCACACCTAGGGGCAATTTAGCATGTCCAATCAGCCCGACTGCATGTTTTTGGACTGTGGGAGGAAACCGGAGTACCCAGAGGAAACCCACCCAGACACGGGGAGAACAGGGAAACTCCACACAGAAATGACCCTGGTCGCCCAGCCGGGAATCGAACCCAGGCCATTCTTGTTGTGAGGCGACAGCGCTACCCACTGCGCCACCGTGCTGCCCTATTATAGGTTATGAAATATATATTTTATTTGCATCCTGCAACACAACTGTTACCTGAACACATTAAACCCTAAAAAACCAATAACTTTGAAACACTGCTACCCAAATTATAGACTGAATGTAAATTATCCTTTTAACAAAAATGCATTTTACAGAACTTAATATAATGTATTAAGGACACTCTAATAGCATGTATGCTAGTTAATACACATTTTTTCTATTTCCTGGTACTACTAATACACATTTTGTGTATTTGCTATTAGACTCGCCGCCATTACTTTCAACCCTGTTATTCATTTAAGCCGCTATGAGCATAGAAATCTTGAAAAAATAAAATTGTTCTTGGGGAAAGACTATTGAAGTATTACTGTATATTAAGTGCAGTATTACAGTATCTTACAGTTTCTTAGATTCAATCTTGAAAATAAAGATTAATTGGTATGAGTTACAAGAACTAAATGGCACTCAGTCGCTGAATCACCTAAAAATAACACCAAGGAAATATTCTTAGTCCTATGGGTTGATTCATAAATAAAGCAGGATTAATAGGAAGGCTATGAGCGGTTAAGCCTGCTCTGTTGTTTCTGATGGCCACACAGATAAGCTGGCCATTTTTACAATGCCATTCCTTATCGAGGGCCCGGTCTGGTCATGCTATTGGACGATCCTGGGTGGTGTCAGCTTAATGGGTCACTCCCATTGGTAGAAAGAAGCAAATCAGTGAGGTCAAGGACCGGCTATGGGAAATTTTTGAACTAGGGAAAGCTCTGAGAGAGGCTGGGCTGTGCTAGTGTAAGTTATCAAAGCAGTTCACATCCCTTTCTGCTTTATCTGCATATCCTTCTGCTTTATCAGCCAACGGAGAGTGACTCATTGATAAGGTGTTATGTTTTGAACTTGAAAAAGGAACACTGTGCTGCCTTGAGAAATGCGAAGAGTTCAGCTGTTTGTCTGAGTTTTGTATAGGTTTAAAAGGCTGGTGCTGCCTCCCACATGGTTCTGAGTGCATTGAGACAGATGACAACAGGTGATGGCTGAGGGAAGGCGAGAGAGGAAGAGAGGTCGTGCAGACGGGGGTGGATGCTGTGTAAAGAAATGTTTGACTAGGGGCTTTTGGCGTAATTTGAGTTGGGCACGGCCCCTGCACCTCCAGACTATTTGTGGATAGAATGGCAAAGGGGTTTCTCATGTGTTTAGCCTATGCGGTGGAGGAAGGATGTCCCCCACTTTGTCCATTGTTGAGTGTCCGGGCCACAGGCTAGTTTTGTGTGGCTCCCAGAAGAAAGGCATCATATTATAGCTGGCTATAGGACTCACAATGGACACTGTGTCTTCTTAAAGGGGAAGTCCACAGATTTTTCAAAAATTTTGAATATATACTAAGAAATAAACAGTCATTCAGAGTGGTTTGAGGTGAAACTGAGGGGCATTGTAGAGAAACTTTGCAGTAGTAGTGATAGAAACTAGGGGTCAGAATGTCTACAGTGCAAATAGACCACTTTAATTTGTATCCAGAATTTTTTTGTAATGTTAATAACGATAATCTGAAAAAATAATTGTTCTTCGGGGAATATTCGGCCTCAGAATGTACCTCTCTGCTATGAATGGATTTTAAAGACATTTTAGGCTGAAACCTTCTCAAAACTATTGTAAAACAATACACTGCTTGATGGCTGAGACATTCATAAGTAGGCATTAAACTCTTCAGACGTCTGGTTTGTATCACCACCACTGTGAACAATTCTGACTCCTGTTTTCTCGAGAACAGAGCATTTTGCATCAAACCACCCTGAATGACTTTGTTTACTCCTTATCAATTTAGTTACGCAGGAATTTTGAAAAATCTGCAGACATCCCCTTTAAATGAGGACTGTGGGCCTGTCAGCAGCTGCAGGACAAAAACAAGACATGAAATATAAAGGTTGCTGCTTCTGCTGTTGTGTGCTGTGTCTGGATTTGTTTTCATAAGTAAGCCAATGCATATTTCTGTAGCAGTCATGTTGGCATTCAGACAAGGACGTACTTTATCAAACTTCCAGAAAAACACACAAAAATCCACCCAGGCTCAGAATTCTAGGAACACGTTGTGCAAACTGCACCTCTCAAGGCCCAAAGCAGAACCAGCAGTCAGACAGGGAATCAAAAAGTACTTCTGGCTTCTTGGAAGTGATTTTATTAGGAACTTCAGAACTCCGTTCCACTTTTCACCCCTCATGCCTCAGCCTGTCCCTTTCGCTCCTTCACTTTTTCACCGCACCCACCCCTTCCGAAGCCAGTTTCTTTGTTTTGCCTCTCTGGTGAAGAGTGGTAAAGAGGTGGGTGCGGAGAGAAGTCGACCCCCCCAGCGCCTAGCAACTGGCTTGTGATTGGCTGGCTCAGAGGGAGGGTAAGGTGGGGGAGGTTTGTGTGGGCATGGCTTGTGCTGAACTGTGGAACATGCGCTCTGCTTGTTTTGCTTAGGCAGAATCAATCTTATCAGATTCTCCGTGTCTCTCTCTGCACATCCAGATGCAAACGTTTAGTAGCCGCATGTTTTCTTTCCCCTCTACTCCCTTAAGACCGTACCATTTGCTTTACGCATGTGGGCTTGTGCTGTGAAGGAAATCTGAATCTTGCGCAGTGTAAATCTACACATTACATAAAAAGGCGAAAGATATTATGTACACATAAAAAATATGGAAGCAGTATGTACATTTGTATTAGAAGTGATAAGGTGCACCTGTGTTACTGATGAAAGAGAGTAGGGGTCCGTAAGAGCTTTGGTCTCGTCTACAGAGCTTCAAGGAACAGGTTTGATTTTCTGAGAAACGCAACCGCACAGCTTCCTGCATGCTGAGCACTGCATCGCCTCAGACTGTGCCTTTTACTTTTTCTCACACACATACACACACACACACACACACACACACACACACACACACACACACACACACACACCACAACTACACACAAACAAACAGCACAGGGGAATTCGGAGCTTTGCTTAAAGGTAACCTGCCAGCCCAGGAGGCTGATGCAAACCTCAGACATGAGCGAACACGAAACACTCGGTGCCAGCTGAGAAGCCACTTCCATGTCACATGGCCAGGAAAGCCCCGCATTTGCCCTGCCAGTAAGTCTGCATATGTCAGGTGACAGACTTGCGCTCTATCTGCCTATCTTTGCCGTGCAGCCCGACTGCCTGCGCGAGAGACACTGCCTGATGCAAGGCTTCACTAGTTTTACACCATCAGAGATGAAGTAGAGCCTGAAAGTGAAAATCTGCAGTGCAGGCTATCGTTCGCCCTCCCTCTGCCCCTTTTTTCACTCTTATCAAATGCAAGCAGAGATAGCCTCTGTGTCTCTGGGCTGTAGATTCCACAGCATGCACCAAGAAGCATGGTACAGAGTTGTTTGTTAATGACGGCGATGATGCTTGTTGAATACTCCTTACGGGAAATAAGACCTGGGAACTGAGGGACATGGGGAATTAAAAATAGGTTTGATAGAATTGAATATTAAGGGGTTTGAAACAATAAAGAACATAAAGGGGAAATAGAACCGAATGGATGCAGTTGAATCGATTGTTAAGGGAAGCAGATCAGAAGATCTTAAGGGAAATAGAACAATGTCAGTGGGAATAGACTTTTATCCTTTGTTTGATTGAGAAAATCTACTTCCATCTGCTGGTGCTGCTGGTGCAGAACACTTAATGGTGCGGTTTGTTCCATCAGCTGGAGCAGGTCGGAGGCTTTCTTTGTCAGGACGGTGTGGGGGTAGCTGTGAAGTTTTGACCCGAATGTGGTGGGTGTTGAGTGAAGGCTAGCAGAAGCAGGCTGTAGCAGAGGAGGAGGGGGCAGTTCGCAACAGCAGAGTCTTTGTCTGCAGCTCGCGGATTCCTGCACTGCGAAAGCGCATTACATAAGGACTCAGCGGGGCGGAGCGCGACGACAGCTGCCTTCAGGGAGACAAAAGAAACGAGCTGCCGAGCACAAACACGCCGCTAGCTTTGGCGCAGGGAAAAGGACGGTCCGCCTCAAAAGCAAAACCAAAACAAAATGCACATATGGCACGTTGAGCCTGCGGGGGTTCACAAAGAAGGGTAACTTTAGCCCAAACTCAGGACGGGCCCAGTAAGAATGTTCCTGATGTCACCTCCTGTTACAGAGACTTGACTTTGGGCTTAAGTTATTTGTGAAATACCCCCCACTGATATGCCCAAGAATACAACCTGCTTTTGTAGGATGTTGGCTTTATGGCTCAAGTTTGCTCAGTGTTACTGTAGGTTACAGCACTCATAAACCAGCAGTAGCTGTTAAGCTAATGAACTACTTTAAAAGCTTGCCCAAGGACTTTAACCTAGAAGTTCCCTTGGATCAACAGTCTCTTAAGGAAAAATGCCCCGAAAGTGGCAGTTTCATAACAGCAGCTTCAGCCTGCATTTCATAATTTCTGGTAGTTTATGTAGTGAAACGACTCTTTCTAATGAAAAACGCTGATAGAAAATCTCCTGTTAAAGGGAAATGGCCTCAAAGCTGTCCAGCTTGGAGGAATGTCTTTGTTCTCATGGCCTGCTGAACCCGCTCACTTTAGACTTTTCGGTTTGGGCTGTGTTTGTTGTGTTATACATGTTTGCGGGAGGGTGCGTATGTGTTTTGTTTATGTGCTGTGGGTGTGCGTTAGTGTTACGTAAGAAGCGCATTTTTTATTTTTTTTTCTTCCCTCTTCCTGGCCCACTCGATCCTCTTTTTCCCGTCCTGAGCGTTTGGCCTAGTTTCAGAGGCGGAGGTGGCTTGGGCTTGGCAGAAGACTGAGGTGAAAACATTCAGCTGAGCTTTCAAAACTTGTAGTGACTCACTTATCCTCAGTCACGTAATGACCGTTTCTGCACTTACTGCACCAGAACTGTTCAGAAATATTGAGAGCAGGAGAGATTAAAAGCAATATTTCTGCTAGCAGTGCGAAGGTCATGGCTGTATTTCGCGAAGAGCACACGTACGGTTTCAAGAAACTATATATCTTCTTTACTGTAAAGGCCCATATCCTACAGTTTTCTTATTTTATCCTTTCTACAAACTTATGTTTGTGTAGAATCATTCATAACAATTCATTTTACATGACCATTTTTTCCAAAATCTCTTTATGCCTTTGAATTAGACAAACTAGAAGTAGCATCTTCTCTGATTGGCTGATTGGCTTCACTGTATTGTGCCTCATTCAGAAAGCAGTCCAGGCCGAAACACTCTTTAGAACTTCAGTGTGAATGGGCGGAGCTAAACTGCTGTAGACTGAATAGGTATATGTAAATGAGTTGTTTTTCATGATGTCACAAAAACTGAATTCATAATGGGCTGCTTAGTTTTCATATATGAACTGGGGAGTGGACAGTACATTTTGATGCGCAGGCAATGTAAATGTCCTCATGATTGTGTAACGTTTGCGATTACATTAGTCACAAATCACAAATTAATGCAAATACAGGGCTAATTAGTTATTGGTTTTGCTTTATTAATGTCCACATGGCGTGATCCTGTTCGTGGCTTATCGCTAATCTCATTTCAGTGCAATTCTGCCATGTGACTCTCACACGGCCCGTCTAAGACCCACTCAGAGCTCTGCTCGAAGCACATGACATGCATCAGCCGACACAGGCTTAGAATCACACTGGCCTGCTTAGAAAACCGCACCTAGACAGTAGCTCCACACTGTTATACACCACCCCCATTCCCCTCGCCTTTGTATTGGCACAGCACTCCCTATCACACCCAGACATAACTGACAGTTCCTGGTTCTAGTCTTGTGATGCTGTTAACAGCCCAGGTGGCGACTGTTTGTTTTGTTCTCATTCAGTGACTCACTCTCTCACTTTCTCTTTCTGTTGCACTGAAAACAGTTTCCACCGAAATGCCGTGTGTCTGTAAATTCATCAGTCTATCTCTCTCTGTTTCTGCAGTGTGGTTCAGCTGAGTACATGGCGCCCGAAGTGGTGGAGGCGTTCAACGAGGAAGCCACCATCTACGATAAGCGCTGTGACCTGTGGAGCCTGGGGGTCATCCTGTACATCATGCTGAGTGGCTACCCTCCCTTCGTGGGCCGCTGTGGAAGCGACTGTGGTTGGGAGAACGGGGAGCCATGCCAAGCCTGCCAGGTACGACACCATCTACCAACCTCTAGCAGAAGCAGCACTGTGCATGTCAGCTGTCAGTAATAACTATTAGTACATAACTGTGTACCTGCATTGGAAACTGAGTAAGACTGCAAATAATAACCGAATTCTGCTTTTTCCTTCCTAATTTCAGAACATGCTGTTTGAGAGCATTCAGGAGGGCAAGTACGAGTTTCCCGAGAAGGAGTGGGCTCACATCTCCTCCGGTGCCAAAGACCTCATCTCCAAATTGCTGGTTCGGGATGCAAAGAACCGGCTCAGTGCCGCTCAGGTTCTGCAGCACCCATGGGTCCAAGGGGTAAGGAACTGGACTTGTTCTTGCTTTAACTTCCTAGGAAGTATTGTCAGGATAAGATATTGCATGGAAGTATTGACTATGATAATAATTACCTTCAATTTCTTCAAAAAAAAAAAAGCAATATTTTTCATGTACATATCTATTGATGCCGATACATTAACATTTTTAAAATGTAGAATTTGTAATCTCCCTGGATTAGCATGGTCATAAATGCATCATCCAATGCAACATCCATTAATGTAAGTGACTGACTGACTGAACCCAGATTTAAATGTGATATTTTTCCCCCCTCTCATTTCTTCAGGGTGCTCCTGACTCTATCCCCTCCTCCATCCTGCTTCAGAGGTGAGTTTTTGCTCATATTATTTATGCTACATTTTACAGATTAGCCAAGATTAATTATTGGGTTCAGAATTATTCTGTTTAAATGAATAGTGAGAGAACAGTTAATCTCATCCGCCTCTCTTTTCCTCATCCGTAGGAACAGTAGTGCCAAGGACCTGACGTTTTTCGCCGGGCAGGCGGTGGCCGTTAACCGCCAGCTTGCCCAGCAGGACGACCTTGAAGAGCAGAAGAAGGAGGAGGAGGCCCCTCAGGTGGTGACGGTGGGCGCTTGCTCCATGCGCCTCTCGCCTCCTTCCACCTCCAAACTGGCTAAACGGCGGCAGAGGAGCAGCCTCCTGAAGGGGGCACCAGTCTCAGCCGCAGAACTCAGCCAGCTCCTCGCTCCGCTGGTTATCATTGGGGACTGCGCCTGAGAGGAGGGGTTATCTGGTGATGGACAGTTGACATCTTCGTCTGTGTGAAGGAAAGAAAGTCTCTGCTGCAAGTGTCCCTCCCCTTCTCTCATAGAAAAGGGATACCTCATTCAAAAAAAAACAGTGGGAATGTGATCAAGCCTCCTGGCGCCCATTGGCTTTCATCGCTAGTCATCGATCTTGTTGATCTTTTTGGGTGAATTATTCCTGTATTAAACATCTCAAACCCAGTCGCTCTCCTTTATCTCCCCTCTGGGTCCCCCCCAGCACTTTACCCAGCAGCCTGGCATGAGGGGGCGCCACTGGGTTTAGGACAGGGCATACATAGGGTTGGGTCAAACCATCTGTTTTAATTTAAGGCAGAGTATTTTGAAGCCAGCCAGCTCAAACACCAAAGGACTACAACACCCACAATCCCCTTCTCTCCATCCAACCCTCCCCCAGCTTCCTATCTTGTGCTGCTTCCACATCACAACTGGATCCACTGTGAATAATTTCTCAATGAGAAGACATTGTTTCGTTTCAGGAATGTTTCTGCCTGTACGTGTGTGTGTATGTGAGCAGATGCCCCATCGTCAGTAGGTTCATGCACACTTATGCAACTCCTGATGAAGGTAAATCAGGTCAGGCGTGACTTCAGTGGAGCTCTCAGTGCCTCACCCCCTCACCATTAGTGTCATTGTTCAAAGCCTCTGAATTCCGTCATCAGCGGATAATCCTCTATCCAAACCAGACCATTAGGAGCCATATAATACAGGATTGGCCATCAGTACCAAAACAATAAATGCACTTCGCCTTTTTTCAGGGCTAGAGTGCTTGTAAACATTGGTCATTTCTGAAAGTGCACTTTCATAAGCGAGCCCCCCATTACTGGGTCATCTGCTTGAGGTTTTATGGTTTCAGCTCCTCAAACGTATCTTCTAGTTGGGATGTTTGGGGGAAAAAATCCAATTAAAATTCCAATTTGCGAATCCACCATAACATGACTGACACAGCAGTTAAACTATACAGTACAAAAGCCTTCATGCCATGCTGACACATTTGAACAGTGGTTAAGATCAGTATGAGCGAAAATGCCTTTCACTTTATTAAACGCACACCAGGAGGGGGTTATCATGTGGTTATGCAAGCACAGGTCTGTCAGTGTGACTATATGAACTCCAGCTGGTTACGGAATAAGGCTTTTATTATGAAATGTTCTCTCTCTCTTTGAAGGAGGGAGGGGCTTGACTACTTCAGTTTGGTACTGATGCCACAGTTCAATGGTACAGTTCTTAGAAAACCATTGCCTTGTGGCCACTGCCAAATAAGTCAGCATTTAACCCGTTAAGCGATCCTTTTATAAAGTAATTTAAAAGTAAGAAAAAAAAATGGAAAAGCATTCCAGGAAAAAAAATTCTATAAAAAAAAAGTCTTCCAAGGAAATGTAGCTGTGTACGTGTGTGAAAAGTTCTTTTTAAAGTTTACTTTTGTGTGTAACTCCAATTGAAACTGTGCCACACTGATGTTTTAAGCTTTGTTAAGCTTTCATTATTACTATTATAATAATAATTATTATTATTATTATTATTTTGTATCTTTAAGCAGGTGCTGTTCAAATGTTCAGGTGCAACGCCTGATGTTTTTTTTAAGGCTCTTTTAAGTATTCATGTTGATGTATTGTGTAAGTTGGGAGTGTGAAAGTGTGAAAGAGGGGAAAGAAGTACGATTTTCTCTTTTTTTTATTATTATTATAATTTTTTTTAAACAGTTGAAGTGAGAAAGAGGCCCACAAAGGCAATTTTCGTTTTTTTTTCCAGTGTATTTGTGTTGGAAATGTATTTTCTCAGAAAGAATTGGTGACCCAGAACAGAGGCAAGGTTGTCAGAAAGTGAGCACATCTTTTGAGTCTAGATTGTGAACTTTTTTTTTTTATTATTATTATTCTTATCTAGATTGTATTTGTTTTCAAGCATTAACGTCACCAATAAGAAGGCAAAAAATGAAACATCTGAGCATATAATCCTGTTGAGTGAATGTTAACTGAGCATTGCCCACTCTTTGTGGAGAGGGAAACATCAAATGAAAGGCAGTCCTCGTGTTAAAGGGAAATTCCACCAGTTTTCCAAAATGTATGCATAATTACACTGTTAAGATATAAACAGTCATTCAGAGTGGTTTGGTGTGAATTGCTGCATTCGGAGTCAGAATTGTTCACAGTGGTGGTGATAGGAACCAGACGTCCACTGAAAGCTCTAAAAGCTCCCTCACAAAGTTATTACATTGAATGGTTATAAATACATTGTTTAACAATAGTTTGACCTGAAATGTGCTTGCTGAGTGTTGTGAGGCAAAATAGTCCCAAAATTCATTTTTTTGAGATTTACCACTATTTATAGTGGCTATATTTGTATTGTAGACTTTGCGATCCCTGGTTCCTATCACCACCACTGTGAAGAAATCTAAGGCAGTATGTTTCGCTGTAAAGAACAATTTCACACCAAATCACTCTGAATGACCGTTTACATCTCAACAACAAAATTATGTGGAAATTTTGAAAAATCGGTGGAATTCCCCTTTAGGAGCTGATTAGCTGAGAATAGGACACTGATTGTAATTGTGTGTGTGTTTGTGTGTGTTTGTGTGTGTGTTGTTTGTTTTTTTTTATCTTTCTACAGTCGTGTCTTTTTTTGTGGAGGTTTATGTCTTATAATAAGACTTACTTGAATTGTATATGCAGCAGTTTTCTCACATTTTGCTCGGGAAACTACTTTGCTACAACAAACCAGTTTAAAAAAAAAAAGAGAGAGAGAGAGAGAAAGAAAAGCATTCATAAGCTGAAAAGGCAATCCTTTGGTTTGGAAAATGTCATTCTGACCACTTCTTGATTCAGTATTTCATTTGCCTTTTTTATTTTTAATTCTGTCTCGTTGCTTTTTTATCGATACCAAACTTTGGGTTCTCAAACATGCACAAAGTCTGTGGCGCTTGGGCTCGACTGTAAAGAGCCTGCAACCATTTTCCCCCATACATATGTTATGGACTGCCTTTGATTAGCCGGGGGACGACTCTGATCTCCCCACGTTTTTCATTTTCATTTCTGTTTTATTAGAAAGGGGATTCTGGGGAGGGTCATCATTTGCGTATTTGGAGAGTCACTGCACAGCTTGTGAAATATAGCTGTGATTGTAGACCTCGGAGTGGAACTTTATCTCCCAGATGTAGTTGAGATTAAAGGGGTTCAGGTGCATTTTTAGCTTTTTCTCCCTGTTTTTCATATTAATGTGACTTTTTTTATTTTATTATTTTTTTTATTTTTTGTGATCCTTTGGCCTGAAGGCTGAAGGCAGTCTTTTCTGTTCAGCACTGTCTGTTTTCCCCCCCAAACCTAAACTACTCATGGGAAGAAGAGTCAGACTGATTTGGGTTTTTCACGTAGCAGGAGTTTTTACAGTCGGTGGATTAAGTTCAGCAGAATTGACGACTGTTCAGTAGAAATGTCCTTTACCTCTTCTCCTGTTAGGCAGTTTTGATTCTGAAAACTGAAAGGTTTCACTTCTTGAAAATGACCCCCCTGCCTGGGGTTTCCCTCAGGACAATGACAAAAACGTTGATATAAAGAAGCACTTTACTGTACCATGTGGCTGACTTCAGTTCACTCGAAGCAAAATTTATGACTGTTGTTGCAGAATTTTGTATTGTTTTCTAATGAAAAAGAAACAATAAAACCCTTTGAACCACACACCGCTGTCTGACTCTGCCATTGTTGATAATGTAATATATGTACATATGAGTAACTCAAAATCTCTAAATATTTTATGCATTCACTGGCCACTTTACTGGAAACCCCTACCTTTGCAGATAGAGACTGTAGCTCATCTGATAATGCACAATTTTTCATCGTCTAGAGCAGGGGTGTCAAACTCAACCACTAAAAGGGCCATATCAAAAAATCTCAACAAATTCATGGACTGAAGAACGTCTGTTTTAATGTCATTTTTAATTAGTGTTGTGCAATAACCTGAACTGGTCAATTGTTTATTCAAAATATGCAAAAACTTAAACAGTAAAATATTAGCACTTGTAGTAAACCTTGAAATATTACATAAATATTCAAAATATTCAAAATATAAATGTCCCCAGGAGCTCCATTTGCTTGAACTGGACACCAGACATGCCTTCTGTGCTGCAAGTTCATTAAGACTTGGGCCCAATTTCTGAGCTGCTGAGCTGACGTTCAGGGTAAATGAAGCCAGCGTGTTTGGTGATATGACTGGTGTAGAATTGTGTAGAACTGAGGTGGAACCGCTGTCCCATAGACTGTTGTTGGAGTAGGAGAGCGCACATTATGTTGCAGTGCATGCTGGGGACTGTAGCGCAGCACATTGTGAAACGAGCTAAAATTAATAGAAAATTAAAATACCTTTGTGAGCCAGATAGGATTTGTCACGCGGGCCTGATCTGACCCACAGGCCTTGTGTTTGACACATGGGCTCTATAGTGTGTATATATAAATATTAGTGCCCACCACAAATATTGGCACCCCTGGTAAACATGGGCAAAACAGGCTGTAAACATTCTTATGGCTTATCTGTTTTGATCTTTCATTCAAAGTATTAACAAAAATCTAACCTTTATTTGAAGTTCAGTAACTGAAAAAAACTACATCTTATCAGGAAATAAATATTTTTCTCAAATCTATGTGTACCACAATTATTGGCACTACTTTATTTAATACTTTGCCCAGCCTCACTTGCAAAGATCTGAGCCTTCTCCTATAATGCTTGATGAGACTGGAGAACATTCCTCCATACAGAACCTCTTCAGATTCCCAGGTCCACACTGTGGACTCTCCTCTTCAGCTCATCCCACTATGGGGTTTAGGTCAAGGGACTTGGGTGGCCATGGCAAAACCTTAATTTTGTGGTCTGTAAACCATTTTTTGTGTTAATTTTGAGGCGTGCTTTGGATCATCGTCCTGCTGGAAGAGCTAAACTATGGCCCAGTTTAAGCTTCCTGGCTGAGGCAGTTAGGTTTTGATTTTACTGTGATACCGTGTATCTGAATAAATTGTCCAGGGCCTTTGGAAGAAAAACAGCCCCACCACATCATGGGTCCACCAGCATACTTCACAGTGGGGTTAGGGTACTTTTCTACATGGCTATCTGTGTGTCCACACAAAGTTTGCTCCCAAAAACCTCTATTTTGGTCATCTGACCATAAAACACGGTCCCACTGAGACTTCCAGTAAAGTTCGGCAAACTGTAGACGCTTGAGTTTGTTGGTCCTTGAGAGTAGAGGCTTTCGTCTGGCAAACCACCCACCCAGATAACTTATGGTCATATCGCTGGTGTTTAATTGTAGTTTGGGAGATGTTCAGACCCCAAGACTAATTTCTGCAATTCTCCATCTGTGATTCTAGGAGATTCTCGTGTGCGGAGTCAATATAAACCGACATCCTCTTTCCAGCAGATTGGTAACATCTCCAGTTGTTTTAAGCATCGTAATTATTGACCTAATGGTGGAAATGGGCATTTTCAACTGTTTAGCTATTTTCTTGTAGACATTTCCTGATTTGTGCAGCTCAACAACCTTTAGCACATCACTGCTGTTTTGTCTGGTCTTTCTTTGACTGAGAGAATTTGGCCTGTGTTTCATCCCACATATATTCCCCAGTGAAACAGCAAGTCATGGCCGACCATTTAAGTGTTCCTAATCGCTCAGATAAACTTAAAAACATATGAATGGAAATACACTTCAGTTAGATTTTACTCTTAAATTCTTATTCTTATATTTAGTCTCTTCAAAAAGACCTCCTGAAAAATGAATATCTTGTACTTAATGACCATTTTGACTGGAAATTAAATAAAAGAAGGTTGACCTCTGACTTTTGTGCAGTACTGGAGGACATAAAGTTTCCACTGAGTGGAAGTACAAGGTTGAAGGCAGTGAGTGTACATAAAGTATTTGCACTTGTTAAAAAATAACACTGAAAACGGATCCCGTCTCCACCTTCTGTGTTCATTCACTTCCGTGGAATGAACATGCACTTTTTTCATGCATTGCCATGTCAAACAATGCTGCTGCCGGGTAAACCATTTTATCTCTCTGTCCCAAGGCTGAGCAGTCTAGGAAGTGCTATTAGATGTTATCAATCCTCCATCAGTCAGTCACCTGAGCTGAAAGCACATGGTGTGTTTTTACTTGGGTAAACATGGGCTTTGGAACAGTGCAGAGCTGTACTTGGTGTTTAACTGGCAAAGCCAAATCTCACCCTTCCGGTTTATGTGATGCAACCACACTGTAATAGCATGGCCACCCTGGTGCCTTTGTAGTTTGTATTTTATTAGCAATATTTTGGTAAAAGGGGAATTCCACTTAATTTTCAGTGTTTCTGCGTAAACAAATGGTTAAAATGTCATTCAGAAGTCATTCGGAGAGGTTTGGTGTGAATTGTTCCGTTCTAGGGAAACTTACTGACTCAGAATTGTGATAGGAACCAGACGTCCACTGCTAAAAGCTCCCTCACAGAAAGTTTACTTGAAATGGTTATACTATCTGATGCCTGAGATATTATTTTAGTATAGTTATGAGACGGTTTTGGCCTAAAAATGATTTTTTGATACATTTATAGTGAAGGGGTACGTGCAAAATAGTCCTAAAGTAAAACTTATAGTAGTTTTCCACTATTTTACCATCATTTCATATAAAACTCAGAAGACGTGTAGGTTCACTGGTGATTTTGAATGCTAAATAAAATGGCTATATTTGTGTTGTAGACATGGCGACCCCTGGTTCCTATCACCACCACTGTAATTGTAGAGAGTCTGTACAATGGACCATTTCACATCAAACCACTCCGAATGACTTTGTTTACATCACAATAACTGAAATTTTTTTTAAAAATCAGTGGATGTCCCTTTAAAGACATGCTCCAAAATTTCAAGCAACTGCCCAATGGCTTCTATTATTAAGTGGTTTTTGAGTCTGTGAGGTTTCTGTGCTTTTTTAAGTACAGGCAAACTTACAAACTGTACAGTTCAGGTGTGCCAATCAGAGATTAGGCTGAAAAATACTGGAGTATTCCTTTAAATGGTAGGACAAGTAAGACTTGACAACACAGGAGCTGCTTTGAACATTTTGCTGCTCCATAGTGTAAATCGCTGCTGTCAGTTTTTGACATAATTTGAAAACACCTGTTCTCCTTTACACTGTGTGTAAATTTCATGAACAATGGACCAAAAGTAGGTTTTTTCCTTCCCCTGTAAAGTTACCATTTTGGAGATACAAGGTTTTCTTCTGACAACAGCGACATGTAACCTGTGATTTCAGTGATACATGATAAGGAGGAGAAGCCACAGGTTGAGCAGGATTTAATGTTGTGCAACAAGGCCACACTGTACAAAGCAGATAGTATTGTTTGGTGTCTGAGTCCAGGCCTGACTCAGCTCTGCTGTCCCTGCAGCACTGTGCAACTCTCCAATCATTGTGGATGTCTCCCTCTAGTGGTTACTTTGTTACTGCAAAGTAAGTCTATTAATGAGTGTCAAGAAGCTTTAAGGGTTTAAAGAACCTTCTAAACTAATTTAATCCTTCGCTCTAGAACCGTTAAATCATATAAAGGTTCTTTAAAAATTAAACCAATGAAACAGTTGGAGGGGCAGGACAGTCTGCACTAAAAACAGAAAGCAGCATTTTTTTTCTGACTGAATGCTTTAAACTGGGAAACGTTCTCCAACCAGACACAATTAAAAGCTCTCTTTTGGACCAAAGTACTGATATGGACACTGAGAAAATCTTATT